GTCTGTTCATACCCTGTGCCCATTTTTCAATTGGGTTGTTTACCTTTATCTTGCTGTGGTGCCAATCCTTTTTTTAATATGGTTGCTATGAGTCGTGGTCAACTTGAAGACAATAACAACAACAATGTGATTATCCACCTTGGTCAGCCAATCAATAGACTGGGTGTTCCCTGAGGGGTGTGGCCTGCCTGCAAACTAGGAGGGCATTCTCGCCCAGCTCCTGCCTCTTTTAATTCCCGGACTCCTGCATCTACCTCCAGTTCTTGAGGCTTGAGTCAAGACTTGAGCTTGCCTGCTGTCCGTCTTGGTCAAGCTTCCCAACCTGTTGTCCAGGAGTCTGCTATTTGACCTGCGACTACGACCATGTAAGTCATCTCCCTGAGCTAAATCTCTCACTTGCTCGATCACTCCGTTTCTCTCTCTAAATATGTTGTTGTTATTGTTGTCCTTGAATCAAATACGACTCATAACAACTCCTAACGAGGCTATGAACAAAAGACCTGACCTCTGTTCTGTAACTATCGTCGTTTCTCTAAGTTCATAGAGTTTTCAGAGGCATGTGGTTTAGGAAGCGGATGAAACTCCTGAATATATATATATGTGTGTGTGAGAGTTGGATCCCACTCAGAGATGACCCTCCAAGGCTGTAAATCTTTCACTTCACTAGTTCTACTTCTTTTGGGGCCTGTCCGGTATTTAGATTGTTCTCGAGAAAGAAAATCAAGAGTTTCCTAAATTTTTCTCTAATCTGGCTGAGCTTAAAAGTACTAACAACTCTGCCTCCATTAGTAATGTGAACAGAGCTAATCTCCAGCCAGAGGTTGTGATATTAATACACAAATATCACCATCAGTAGGTCAAGTGGTGGTGAGAGGTGACAGACACTCTGAGTCTGTCTGACACATCTCTGAATAATGTCAGAATGAAAAACGGACTAAAAGTAGGTCCTACTTTTGTGATTATTTTAAACGTGTGGTAAACTTTCATAATTTTCTATATCTCAGTTATTGTTAATGCCAGAGTAAATATTTGGATTTGTTGGTGTCTCTCTGGAGACTAAGGTG